ACAGGGATGGTGGGGGCCCCTCATAATGGGCACAGCGGGGTCTCCCCATGGGAGGTATAACATCAGATGTGGGCAGACTGGACATCTGATGGCGCCGGCCTTCCGGTCCTGTACGGTATAATTCCTCATTTCCTTCCATTGTGTCTTCATAGGTTGTAGATTGCACCGGTGTGGAGAACGTGGAGATGGTTCGCTCACCATAAAGGTTGTTGGATTAACGATTACAGCCGATCAATCATTTCCCTGTTGCCATGGCGAAGAGTATGGAGGTGAAGATCGCGGTGTTTGGCAGAGCCGGAGTCGGTAAATCTGGTAAGTTACGGTGAGAATTCTGCAATGGGAATATTTCCTTCTTCAGACGCCGCTATTGATCGATCAGATATTGGGGCTCATTGATCGGCTGGTGTCCCTCATAGCGTGCTGCAATGTCTCCGGGATTAATAAGGCCTCAGGAAGCTCAGCTCCAGACAAGTGTGGAAGGGTTAGACCCTCGGCCGATGTTTTATCGCTGACTGTGCTCCTATTTGGGGGATTCCGGCTCATTGTCTGAATTATTGGTGTCAGACGGAACGTGAAGAGAGAGGACGTTCCTCCAACAGAGTCAGGAAGGTTTAGAACCTCTCTCAGGGTCTACCTGCTGTGCCCTATGGGGAGCTTTCACCTCACTTCCTGTGCCCTATGGGGAGCGCTTTTCCCTCACTTCCTGTGCCCTATGGGGAGCGCTTTCCCCTCACTTCCTGTGCCCTATGGGGAGCGCTTTCCCCTTACTTCCTGTGCCCTATGGGGGAGCTTTCCCCTCACTTCCTGTGCCCTATGGGGAGCTTTCCCCTCACTTCCTGTGCCCTATGGGGAGCTTTCCCCTCACTTCCTGTGCCCTATGGGGGCAATAATAGGGGACACCAGCTTGTGGCTTCCGGATACATGAGGATCATCAATAATCTCCAATCATTCATCTTCTGTTATGTCTTTTTTCAGCTCTGGTTGTGAGATTCTTAACCAAAAGATTCATCTGGGAGTACGACCCGACCCTCGGTGAGTGCATGAC